AGTCCAAGTTAATTGCCTGCTAAAATAAAAATACCCATACTTTTTGGAAGATTATGACAGCATCCAGTCTCTGCATCTTAACATTCACAATGTCTAGGTATAATCCAAATTGACTAGAAATATGAATAAACTCAAAAAACTGTAACTCATTCTCCTGAGAAAAATTTATCAATGGAGTATGACCCCAAGATGCCCCAAATGTTGGAATTATCAGTCAAAGATTTTAGAGCAGCTATTATAATCATGCTAAATAGGAAAATACACTCATAATGAGTGAAGAGGTGGGACATCTCAGTAGAGAAATAGAAAAATAAAGATATTAGAAAAGAACCAGGTGGAAATTCTAAAACTGAAAATATACAATGTCTGGAATTCAAAAATTCTCTGGATGGGCTAAACAGCAGAGCGTAGATGACAGAAGAGTCAGTGAGTTTGAATGTAAATAGAAATTATCCAATCTGAAGAACACAGAGGGGATAAAGAATGGGCCATAGAGCAAGCGTTAGGGACCTGTGGGACAAGATCAAAAGGTCTAACATAGATGTAACTGGGGTCCCAGAAAAAAGAGGAGGGTATAAAAAGTATGTAAAGAAATAACAGCCAAAAGTCTGTTGGAAAAAAATTTATAGGTTTAAAAAGCTCAGAAAACCCTACGCAAGATAAGCACAAAGAAACACACACCTGGCTCAACACAGTCAACATCCTGAAAAGCCAAGATTAAATCTTGAAATCAGTCAGAGAAAAATAATACATAACATACAGTGGAGCCATGATTCAGCCAGCTTCTCATCCAGAAGACACTGCAGCAGTCTGGGCTCAATCAGGAGATCGAAACCACACCACAGATTAAATGAGGGAAGCTTAATACAAAGAACTGTTTATGATGATAAAACAGTAACTATGGACTTCCCTGGTGGTGCAGTGGTTAAGAATCCGCCTGCCAATGCAGGGGACACAGGTTCGAGCCCTGGTCCGGGCAGATCCCACATGCAGCGGAGCAACTAAGCCTGTGTGCCACGACTACTGAGCCTGCTCTCTAGAGCCTGCGAGCCACAGCTACTGAGCCAGCGTGCCACAACTACTGAAGCCCGCACACCTAGAGCCCATGATCCACAGCAAGAGAGGCCCCCGCAGTGAAAAGCCCGCGAACTGCAACGAAGAGTAGCCCCTGCTCACCGCAACTAGAGAAAGCCCGCACGCAGCAACGAAGACACAGTGCAGCCAAAAGGAAACTCTAATGTGGTTTCCTAGGGTTGAGGGAGTATCCCCAAGGAAGGGCAAATTTGGAAGAGGTTAAGCCCCCTTGGAGAAGATGTGGTTTGACCCACCAGATGGCAGAGATATTTGCTGGTTTGGCCAGACTGAAGCAGAGCTGGAGTTGCCAGGCAAGCAAAAGGCCACCCCCTGAAGTGCACGTGGAGGAACAGGTGATCAGTAACTGGTGATATGAGCACACATCAGGAGTCCAGTTGCTGGTGGGGGCAGAAGGCCTGCAGCGTGTGTGGGCCACCGTGGGGGCTTTGGGTTTTGGGACAAGAAGGCTACAGAAAGATTTTCACCAGGTCATGTCTGCAAAGTCGCAAAGGGATGACGTTCTAGGCCCATGGGTGGGGCAGGTTCACCAGGAATCTTCACACCTCTACCGCCAACACTTCCTGCAATGTTTCACCAGTACCCTCTACTCACTTGAAAGGAGACAATGAAAGGAACTCCTTGGTATATTACAGAGTAATGGACATATTGAAAGGTACATTTGGAGGCAAGATGTAATAAATTGAGAACTGACATGCACCTTAAGTGATGAAAGAACAAAAAAACCTGCCAACTGATAATTCTATACATAGCGAAAATGTCCTTTGAGAGTAAAGTTAAAGACATTTTACAGAAAACAGAAGCTGGTCCTCCTTGAGTTGCATCTTTTTTTTTTAATTTATTTATTTATTTTTGGCTGCATTGGGTCTTCATTGCTGCGAGTGGGCTTTCCCTAGTTGCAGCGAGCGGGGGCTACTCTTCGTTGCGGTGTACGGGCTTCTCATTGCGGTGGCTTCTCTTGTTGCTGAGCACAGGCTCTAGGCGCACAGGCTTCAGTAGCTGTGGCACGCGGGCTCAGCAGTCATGGCTCGTGGGCTCTAGAGCTCAGGCTCAGTAGTTGTGGCACACGGGCTTAATTGCTCCGTGGCATGTGGGATCTTCCCGGACCAGGGCTTGAACCCGCGTCCCCTGCATAGGCAGACGGATTCTTAACCACTGCACCACCGGGGAAATCCTTGAGTTGCATCTTGAATTGCCGCCTATTTTTGGTCAATTTACCCCGGGGAAGTCCTTCAAGCCAGAATAGAGATGACTGTATGACACAAAGCATCACTGAAATTTTTCAAAATGGATAGGCTTTGTGGAATTCCCCCGCTCAATGTGGGGTTGGTGGGCTAGGCGCTCAAAGAAATCTCACGCACACCTTCCTCTGTAGACTCTATGAAGTAATAGCTGCCAATGGAGATACTCAGAGATTTCAAGCTGCATAAAACTCCTCAGAAACAAAAGTGGTTCTCTAAGTGGTATGCAAAGAATGAGAATCAATTCTGCCTCAGAGAGGAAGGAAAAGAAGCAAGATGATCAATATCTTGTAATAAACTCTAATGGGAAAGAAACTGGAAAAGGATATATATATCTATCTGAATCACTTTGCTGAAATTAACACATTATAAATCAACTATACTTTGATAAGAAAGAAAGAAAGGGAGAGAGAAAGAGAAAGAAAGAAAGAGAAGCAAGATGACACGTGGCTGGTCATCTCTGCTTGGTCCAAAATGTGCAAAGAACCTGGTTTATGTGGCTTGTGTAGCTCCTATGCCCTGAGAGGTGCTTTGTGCCCGGACGGCAGTCATGGGTGATTACCTCCAAGATTACCATGCTAACTGGAGAGCAAGGGCTGTACTGCTGTGTCCCCAGCTCTACTGCCAGCCTGGCAACCAACACAGATTGCTTGTTGGGTAAGTGCTTGTGGATGTGTCTTGTTATGAATCAGTTAGAGGGTCTGATGCCACCATACCTTCTCAGGTGCGTCCCTTTAGCTTTCTAAGAATCTAGGCGTAGGGGATTAAGAGGTACAAATTATTATGTATAAAATAATCTACAAGGATGTATTATACAGCACAGGGAACATAGCCAATATTTTATAATAACTATACATGCAGCATAACTTTTAAAAATTGTGAATCACTCTACTGTATACCTATAACTTATTTAATATTGTACATCAACTATACTTCAATAAAAAAATGATTTTTGAAAAATAAATAAATAAATAAAGACGTTTTCAGGTAAAAAAAAAAAAACTAAAAGAGTTTGTCACCTGCACACCTGTGTTACAATAAATGCTACTAAGAAAGTTCTTCAAGCTGAAGGAGATTTACACTTGAGGGAAACAGATCTTTGGGGAGAAATGAAGAACACATAAGAGATGATAAATACCTGCATAAATAGGAAAGACTATTATTTTCCTCTTTTAAAGAACACATATAACTGTATTAGCAAAAATTAAAACATTGTCTTGTGGCATTTATAATCTAGGTAGATGTCATTCATATGACAAAGAGAATAAAGGACAATGGTGAGGGTAAAAAGACCTATACAGTTGGAAGATTTTTACATTTTAGGTGAAGTAGAACAATAGTGAGTCCAAGTCAATTGTGACTTAAGGATATATGTTAAGGATTACAGCTCCTTGAGCAGCCCCTAAAAAGGAAAAAGAAAAAGGCAGTAGTTAATTTCAAATAGAATTCTGAAAAAGATTCAAATAATCCAAAAGAAGGCAGAAGAGGGGGAACAGAGGAATAAAATTCGGAGACCACAGAAAGAAGAAGTAGTAAAATGGTAGATTTAAATTCAATCATATTAATCATTGATATGATAATGGACTAAACATCTCAAGACAGAGATGATCACGGTCGATTCGTTTTCAAGAATATCTGGCCCCAAGATGGGCCAGGCCCCAGGCACAACGGGCATCAATGTGAACTGAATCGTAACAGCAAACTGGCCTGAAGCTGGCTCCCTGGAGGTGGGCACAGTCACTGTCCCCATGTCAGAGGAGGCAACACAGTGTGTCTTTTTTTCTTTTTTTAAAAATCTATTTAGTTATTTGGCTGCGCCGGGTCTTAGTTGTGGCATGCGGGGCTCTTAACTTGCGGCATGCAGGATCTAGCTCCCTGACCAGGGATCGAACCCAGGCCCCCTGCATTGAGAGCACGGAGTCTTAACCACTGGACCACCAGGGAAGTACCAACATACTGTGTCTTACTTCTTTATATCGTTTCCTATTTGCCTCCCCCGTTAGACTGTGAGCTGCCCACCAGCGAGGACCCTTTGTTTGCCCTTGTCCCAGTGTCTAGAACAGTACACATAGTATGTGCTCAAGAGATATTTATGGATAAATGGAAGGATGAAAGGAAGGATAAATAAATGGATGGATCGATGGATGGATGGATGAATGTGGCCCAGGATTCAGAACTTGGTGACGGCCGCTTCAGGATCCAAATTGGTCCATCCCAGGTTCTGAGGTTTTCTCAACCACATGGCTCAGCCCTTTCGATAAACTCAATCAGAATAAGGAGACAAAGGAAGGACAGAGTGAGAGAGACAGGATGGCAGGAAATGAAAAGAAGGAATAGGAGCCGCGGACACATAAGCTCAGTGGCCAGCTAGGCAATTTTGAGTAAACCCCTCTGAGCCTTCCACATGTGTCACATGAGCTAAGACCACTTTCCCAGCTTCCCAAGAAGACATGATAGGCTCTCCAGGCTGGGCCCCCAAGGCAGACAAACCCACCATCAGGCCTCTGGGGGCCCCTAGCACCCCTGCTGTGAGAGGCTGTGGAGCTGTTCCACCTCTCAAAGCAGTCTGGAGGGCCCAGGAGGACTCTGAAGGCACTGGGGGCCAGGGGAGAATGACCAGGTCTCCATGTACTGCCCCCCACCAAACGTGCCACCAGCCTCACTCACCTGCCTTTGAAGCTGAACCCACCAGGCAGCCGGCGGGCCTTGGGGCACTGGTGCCACAGTGGCTTTGTGACTCACAGCCAGGTTCCTGGCCAATCCCATCTCCTGGGGGGAGGGGGTATTAGAAGGCTGACTCAGTAGGGTGGGGGAGGGGGCAGGACCCAGGTCAGGGTCAGGGTTGAGGGCATGGTGATTGCTACATCTTGCCTGCCCATCCTGAGTAGAAAGTTAGGGCTCTGAGCACAGAGGGGACCCCAAAATCTCCCCCTCCATGTGTCTGGAGGTGGCCTCAGTCTCATCCCTTGGGTCTTTGCTGAGCACTTACTTTGTGCTGGGACCTGATCTGGACCTGGGGACACAAACAACTCAAATAATCTAGGGGTGTGAAACTGTTACGACGGAACCAAAGTGGGGGTGGGATGGGCTGAGCCCCACAGAGAGAGAAAAAGAGTTGGCTGGGGGTGTGCTGTGGGAAGGGCATCCCAGGTGGACAGCAAAGCATATGCAAAGGCCCTGCGGTGGGAACAAGCTGGGCATGTTTAGGGAATATGGGGGAGGCTAAAGTCATTGGAGGGAGGGAGAAGAGGGCAGGGAGGGTGACTGTATAGGTAAGGCTTCAGAGAGGACTATATAGGAGTTTGGGTTTTGTTGAGAAGGTGAGGGGTAAGCCATGGCTCTTGTGCTCTGACTTACATCCTAAAGGGTTTAGAGTGTCTGGCTTTGAGGATGGGGGCTCCTTAGGGTAGTGGCAGGCCCAAGGCCCCTTGGGATCTTCCCACTGCCTGGCAAAAATGGGCACTGACCCCGAGCCACAGTCCTGGAAGGGGAAGTGAGGCCACCATCCCCGGTCACCTCCTGGGGCTGGGCCAAGGCCTCGTGTGAATCACTGCTGGCTGGGCCACGGCTGACACTCTTTGGCCTCAGCTCAGCAGTGTCCTGCCAAAGCCACACAGCCTGGCCCAGAGGCCTCTGCCTGGCCTCCCTGGGGAGCCACTGGGGGGCATCAGAGCAAGAGGCCAACAGGGACGCCCAGCCTCCCTCTGCAAAGATCCTCTGTCTTCTCCACACGGTGGGTGTGGCTTTGGGCAAAACTAGGGATATGGGAGTTGGACAAGACTTATGTCCTTTGTTTCAGCAGTGACCAGGACAGTTCCCATCCATGACCTGAGTGAGCCAAACACAAATCCAGGGTGATCAGGGCAATAATAGTGGAAGCACAGAGCTTCCACTATGGAGCCCAATAAGGGCATCTGCAGCAGAGCTTGAGAGGTGAAGCTCAGCTGGGTGGCTGAGGGAAGAGGGGTATCAGGCTTGCAGCTGTGCCAAGGTCCCGAGGCCAGAAGGACGGGAAATAGTTCCGGTGGGGAGCTGCCTGGAAAGAGACACTGACCTGCCCAGGGCCAGGTGCAGTCAAGGCCTTTTTTCCAGAAAAGTGGCAAGTAGGGGCCAGATCTATGGTTTCCAAAAAGCCCTTCAGGTCACATGCTAGTGAAAAGACAAGGCCTCCACCTAGCCCCAAGGCTCCTTTTAGGCAGGTAAAAGGCTTGGGTTTGAGCCCCCGTGCTGCAATCATTTAGCAGGATCTTTGTCCCTGGTTCCTAGCACACAGCTCCTAAAACTTCTGTAAACTCCAGAGTGGTGTGGTCAGGGCCCTTAGATAGCTTCAGGATGGGGGCTGGTCTCCAAAAAGATCAAGGCATGATTAGAGGGTTGTAACTTTCTGCCGCACCTCCTAGACCTCCTGGGAAGGGAGACAGGCTGGATATTGAGTTAATCACCAAACGCCAGGGATTTCATCAATCCTGCCCAAGCATTGGTGACCTCATGGGGTGCTGGGAAGATGAGGTGCCCAGAGAGGGCATGGAAGTTCCTCGCCCTTCCCCCATTTGCCCTTCCCCCATACCTTGCCCTATGCATCTCTTCCATTTGGTTGCCCCTAAGTTGTATTCTTTAAAATAAACTAGAGTGAGTGAGTCAAGTGCTTTCCTGGGCTCTGTGAACTGTTATAGCAAATTATTGAAGCTAAGGAGGGGTTGGTGGGAACCCTCGGGTTTATAGCCAGTCTTTAAGAAGTACCGGGGTGGGGGTGGGGCGGAATTCCCGCGGAGTGGTTAAGACTCAGCGCTTTCACTGCAGGGGTCACCGGTTCGATCCCTGGTGGGGGAACTAATCCCTGCATGTCCATGCCGCCCAGGGTCAAAAATAAATTAAATAATTTTTTTAATAAAAAGAAGCACAGGTGGCAACCTGGGACCTGTGATCGGCATCTGAAGTGGGGCAGTTTTGAACTCTTCACCTGTGTGGTCCGTGCTAACTCCAGGTAGAGTGTCAGAATTGAATTGTAGGATACCCAGTTGGTGTCTGCAGTTGGAAAACTGGTTAGTGTGGGGGAAAAAAAAAAACCCACTCGTTTGGTGTCGGAAGTACTGTGAGTAAAAACCTTTCAGGGGGTATCCGGTAGATCTCGTAACCTCCCTGGGCTTCCCCTTCTCTATAGGTTGGGGGCTGCACAGTGTACGCCTCGCCTGAATACTATTTCACTGCTGTTCATCTCCCAAGCACTTCCAACTTCTGACCTGAGACGTTACCTGGACACGGGAAACACATCCTTTTCACAGCACAGTAGGTAAAGGCCAGAACCGGGAGGGAACTTGGCTGAGGTTACAGCGGCAAATTGGCACCCAAGTTGGGACTCAAGCCTCCTGAAGAGTGAAGCTCTGACCCCCAAGCATGGTTCTTGGTCTCCTCTGTGTGGACACCCCAACCTCAGCATCAGCCCTCTTTTCACTTCAAACCCCTCTCCTGAAACATCTGCCTGAAGGTGGTACCAAAGAGAGGTCACATAATTTAAAAAAACAAACCCCAAAGCAGCTCTTAAAGCCTTGAAAGGTGGGCAGCCAGGGTGATCCGGAGGAAGAGGGAACTTGTATGTGGTGAAGCCCCACTCTTTCGATGGCTGAGGGACTGTGGGCACAAGGCATTTCTTCTCTGCACCTCTCTGCACCTCAGTTTCCTCATCTGTAAAACAGGCATGATTTGCCCACCTTCCCTATCTGGGTTGGGTACACAACTGGAGTTCAAAGCTCACTTGCCCTCTTGCCCTGTGTCCTTGGCCACCAATGCTCATGTCCCTCGGGCCCCAAGTGAGGCAGAAGCCCAAGGTCCAGGGTCTTCTGCCCCCACAGTAGCAAAAGCCAAAGCAGGCAGGGGACGAGGGTAACCTGGCAGTCAAGGCGCTGGAAGTGAGAAACCCAAGGTGCAAAATGTCCCTGCACGGTCTCCTAAAAAAGGCTGTGTGACCTGAAGCCTGTCACTCAACCTCTCTGAACCTTAGTTTCTTCAAAATGGGAGAATAGGATGTTGGGGGAGGGGTGTTTCAGACAGTACTTGAAAAATCCTGGATTCCAAGTCAGTGGTCCCACAGAACCTAACCACACCTCCAGTCCTGGAGGCAGACTGCCTGGGTCAGATCCTACCTGTGCCAACCTTCCTTCTGTTCCGGAAACTCACGCTCCCCATCCGACAAACGATAATACAAGCTTACACTGAGCACCACCTGTAAGCCAAGAACTGCTCTGTAAACGAACTGTCTTAATCCTCACAACTTTATGGGACAAGTTTACCATTGCTCTGCCTATTTTACAGACAGGCAAACAGAAGCCCGGAAAGTTAGTTTCTACCTTTTCCTCCCTGCCTCGGGCTGAAGTTGTCCCCCTTCCCTCCCGCAGTCCCTCCTCCGCAAAGGGGAGACAAAGGGGACACCTTCGGGCTGGCTAGTTCGAAACTCAGGTTGGAAACCCCAATGTCCCCCGCCCAACCCGGACAGGAGTCGGCCCAGCGCCCAGGCGCTCCTAGATGGCGCTCTCCGAGCGCCAGATGTGCAGGTTCTTCCCGGACGCCGACTCCCTCCTCCTCTGAGCAGGGGCGGAGGGAGGAGGCGAAGGAGGCAGGAGGGGACGGGGACCGGGCCAGGCCCCGCCCACCCCGTCAGGCCCCGGCAGGAGAAGAAGGAGGCGAAGAGCCGAGCTGGCGTAACGAGACTTTACTGAAAACAGAACACCGGGCGAACCAAGGATTACAAACAGGAATGTGGACTCGTAGCAAAACGAAACAAAAAAACAGAAGAAAAACGGCGGGACGAGGGGGCGTCGGAGGGATGGAAGGGGAAGGGAAGCGAGAGCGAGGAAAGGGAAGGAGGGAGTTTTTTTTTTCTTCTTCCCATTTCTTTAAAAAACCCACACAAGAAAACACACACACACACAACCAACGTTTGTTCCCGAGTAGAAACATAAATAGGGCAAAATCGAACACTCTGTTCTTCTCTCTTCCAAAGTCAAAAAAAAAGTAAAAGAAGAGAAAACGCAGGGCTTGAGCCTGCGCCCCCTCGGAGCCTCCTTCGGCGGCGGTGTGTACAAAGGGGCGGCCAGAACGCGCGGGTTTGTGCAACACTGGGTGGCCGCGCGCCCGGGACAGAGGCAGCGCGAGGGCGGGGGAGGTGGGGGTCATGCGCTCGCCCCCCGGCAGCAGGGGGTCCAGCTTGTCGAGTCTGAGGCGCCCTCTCCGACTCCTGGCACCCTCAAGGGGGGGATCCCGGGGCCGCGCCCTCTGCGAGTCCGGGGCGCCCACGCCCCCCCCCAACCACGCGAGCCCGCCTCTCTGGGAGGAGGCCGCGCATGCGCCCCGCGCGCGAGCTCAGTACGCGGGCACCTGGTGCTGGGGCAGCAGCTGGCAGCCGCTGTTGACGTGGCTGAGGACCTTCTGCTTGAGCTGCGCCACCTGCTCGCGCAGCAGGCTCGCCGTGGACGCCAGCTCCGTGTTCTGACTCTTAAGCGTCTTCACTTTCTCCTCGAGGCGCGAGATGCGCTCCAGCTTGCGCTTGCGGCACTTGGAGGCAGCGATGCGGTTGCGCAGCCGCTTGCGCTCCGCCTTAATGCGCTCCTGCGTGTCCATGTCGATGGGCGACAGCGGCGGGCTCTCGCCGAAGCTCGGCACGTCGGGCACCGTCTGCGGCTCATCCTTGAGCGCGGCCAGGCGCGGAGGCCCCAGCGCGCCTGGGGGTGGCGGCGGCGGGAAGGGCACGGGCTCCGCGGCGAAGGCGACCGTCGCAGCACCCCCCGCACCCCCGGTACCGCCCGCGTAGCTGCTCAGGTTCGCGTAGACGGGAGCCTCGGGCGTGGCCGCTGCCGGGGCCAGCTCGCTGGGAGGCGCGGCGCCCGCAGCCATGCCAGAGGGTCCCCCGGCGGCGGCGGCAGCGGAGGCCGCGCCCGCGCCCAGCTGGTTTTGCTTGTGTAAGTCCTCTAGGGCTTTGACGAAGCCCTCGGCGAACTCCTGCTCCTCGCTGGCCGCCACCTTGGGGTAGAGGAACTGCGTGCTTGTCGGCGTGGTGGTGACCAGCCCGTTGGACTGGATGATAAGGCGCTCGAGCTCAGGCGAAGCGAGCTTGAGCAGCCCCAGGTCGGGCGAGGCAAGCAGACCGTCTTGGGGCGCCGCGCCAGGGGCGCCGTCGGTGCGCAGGGGGGCCGGGGGCGGCGCGGCCGCGGGCTTGAGCGCTGCCGCCACCTGCTCGCTCAAGCTCAGCGTCAGCGCGTCCTTCTTCATCATGCTGCCGGCCGCAGCCGTCGGGGGCGCCCCGGGAAACAGACGACCCGGGGACGCGAAGCTGCCGTCACTACCACTGCCGCCGCCGCCCAGGCCGCTCAGCGCCTCATCGCCGTAGAAGGGTGTTTCCATCCTCCGCCTCCCCCGCCGCGCCGGCCCGGGGGGGAGGAGTGGCCGCGGCCGCCCGGGGGGCCCGCGCCCCCCCGTCCGCTCGGCCCTGCTCCCACCGCGGCCGCTGCGCCCGGCCCTCCGCTGGCGGCGGCTCCTGAGCCGCGCGTCCCGCGCGCCCCCTTATAGACTCGGCCGGGCGCGATGAGCTCACTGTCCCTGCTCGCCATTGGGCACGAGTGACGTTGCTCATTTGCATGGAGGGGCGGGGCCAAGTCACCAACGCCCCCCTCAACCCCCACCGACTGTCGTTGTCCGGGTGACGCGCGGTAAACGGCACAACAGCGCGTTGCCTTATGGGTTGACGTCATGGGGGCGAGCAGAGCGCCCGGCCCGGTCACCCCGCCCCAGGAGTGCTGTGTACGACCAATGCCCCCAGTGCCGCCTCCCGCCAAGGCACGTTCCGGGTGGCGTGATGGGCCCGGCCACCCGGCGCCCGCCCGCCCCGAGGCCCGGCCCCGCCCCGCGTCCGCGAGTGGGGCCCGGCCGGGCGGGGGCGGTGCCGACCTCCGGAGCCCGGAGGGGGATGGGGCTCCGGATGGATAAATAACTCCCTGTCGCCTCCCGCTCCACTGTGCCGACTTGTACCTTCCTTAGCGCACCTCTATCTAGGCTTTGTGCGGGCCTGAGGGAGCTGTGCCGGGTGGCTCGCCGGGGGCGTGCGCCAGGTCTGTCTCCACGTCACCGCCACCCCCACCCCAGTCCCCGGTGGTGTGTTTGCCCCAGGAAGACGGGGGAGGGGAGAGGAGGTTTCAGCCAGAAGTTGCTGGAAATGCTTTGATCCTGCTATTCTTCACTGGGTGGGGTCTAAAGCGCGGGAGTCCGACTTCCTGACTTTACAGACGGGAAATTAAGGCTCTGCGAGGTGGAGTGACCTGCCCTCGGGGCCAGAGCTGTGACCAGGCGTGAGCTCTTATCCATCTGGTAGAACCCGGGCGTCCGTGCCCCTGGGCAGCCGCCTACGTTGTATCTCTGCGTCTGCCAGGGCCTCCTATGGGTACCCCGGTGACTCCCGGACTGGGTTGTTAAGGCAGGAATCCAAGCTGGTAATTATTACCTGTTTATTACTATTATCATGAGTGTCAGGTCAGGCTTAATGGGACTCCATAAAGGCTGGCTGGCGATGGGATCTGAGGGAGGTGAGAGGGGCCCTTCCTCACACTCCCAAGAGATCCTGGGGACATTTGGATCTGACCTACAGCCCCTGCACAGAACCCCTCCATGGCTCTCACCACACTCGGGATGGCGCCCAATCCATAAGCAGTTGGTGGAGGCCCCATACGCTCCTTTGCTCTTTCGGGTGACCCCCTCTAACCTTTCACCCTCAACCTCTCTGAGCTTTGTCTTCCCAACTCATTGCTGCCTCATCGATAGGTGCTATGCCCTCAGCCTGGTGCTCCCTTCCTCCCCCCACCATGCTTACACTTGTCCTCAGAGAGGCCCCTCCCACTCACCTTGTTTCCGTTATATTCTCAGAACCATCCAGAATGATGGGATGGACCATAAGGCCCAGGAGGGCAGGGACCTTGTCTATCTTGAGCCTGCTGGATCCCCAGCTTCCTGCATAGGGCCTAGCATCCAACAGCCAGTGTTAAAGGAGAACACAGGCTGGTGGGGTGGCTGTGGCAGTTTCTGGCCTCAGTTTGTCTGACTGGCCTATGGACATGAGCACCCGTTCTTCTATTTCCCTTCCTCACCTGGCCTTGCCCCTAACTGGGCTGTGGAGCAAGAAGGCCACGAGGGAGGTTGTCATCACAAGCAAGAAGCCTGGCCTGGCTGGCAGAGGGTTGGGGGTATGGGTTTGTGTCTACATACACACAAATGTCTGTTTGTGCCCACATGTGCCTGTGTGTGTTCATGCGTGGGTCAGTGTACCCAAATGTGTTCATACATAGGAGTGGGTGTCTGTGCCCGTGTGGATCCGTGCATATGGATCTATGTACCCGTGTGTGTGTATAGGTGTATGTGTCTGTGTTTCCAGGAATGTGGGTCTCTGTGCCCTCCAGACCTGTCCTCTTGGGTACCAGCCTGAGCAAAGGGACCCCTAAATGGAGTGGATGCAGCCCCCAGCCTGTAACCAGCCCTGCCCTAGGACCCTTCTCTGGGCCTGTGCAGTGGGGCTAGACTGAAGGAGATGGGATCATGCTTCTCCCCAAGCCTAGGGAGGCTCCACCCTGACCTTGGGCCTTGACTTTGATAGGTAGGGATGGTCTGGTAAGCTGCGGGCAGGGCCAGCTTGAGCTGAGCGGTCACCCAACAGACAGGCTTTGGGAAATGGAGGCACAGGAAGGCCAAGGCATGTTACATGTCTGAGTGTGCTTATGAAAATGGAGCAAATAATTCACCTACTTCATGGAGTATTGTGACTTTTATTGGAAGTATTTGAACAAATAGTAAGGGCTCAATAAATGTTCTCTATAATTGTTTTACTTTATTATCATTTGGCCAAACTTAACTGCGGTTCTTTGGAGTACCCTCAGCCTGGAGTGCCCTTCCTTAGCCTCCTGGCAAACTCCTACTCATCCTTCAAAAACCACCTCCAGTATTCCCTCCTCCAAGAAGTCTTCGTTAACCATGCCTCCAGGGACTCCCCTAAACCTTCCATCTGACTGAGCCCTGTCCACTCTGTGTTTCTGATTCTCTCTTTCCCAGGAGGGTCCTTGGAGCTAGGTGGGGAAGACCTGTCTTGGCCTCTTAAGTGTGGGGAGTTGCCCTTGGCAGCCTCTGCCATCCCTACTCTCCAATATCTACCCCCCTCAGGCTCCTCTGCTGTGCACTTGCTGTTCCCTGTGACCCAGTGCCCTTCCCCATCCTCTCATTCCTCCCTCTGGGACACTCCAGCCCTGCTCCTCCATTTGGACCAGCGCTGACCCCATAGAGCTGGGGGGCAGCTGTGTCCAGCTTTAGTCCTCCCAGACTGGGGGCTTCTCAGGCAGGTCAAGGCGGGGCCTGAAATCCATCAACAGTCCCATGCAGTGAACTAGGGAAAACTCCCATTCATTCATTCATTCCACATACAATGATTGAGCACCTACTGTGAGCCTAGTGATGGGGACTCACATGGGTGACACAAACACCGGCAACCTCTCAGACACACAGTGTGAAGGAGGAACCTGACAAGCACAGCTTCAAGGAAAATAAATGGTACCTCCTTCAT